TAGCCTGATAGCAACACTCGGGGGGTTGGGAGAATTCTCGACAGTTATGCAAACCCTCGACTACGTCTCGGGTTTGTATAACTGTCTCGAATTCTCCCAACCTCCCCTCGTGTTGCTATCAGGCTATGTAAACACGGAAAAAGTTTTCTATTGCTTAAATCTAAAACGGAAAACTGTTTTATATTTCTTAATTTCGATTTCATGTTTCTTAAGATTGATGAAAACGTTTTTATTCATTATGATTTTAAACACGTGGCCCAAGCATGATTTGCTCAGAAGTAAAATCTAGTTAAACTGTGTTTTTATCACTTATTTACAATAACTATAGTCAGAAGAAGCGGTGAAAAGAAAGTTAAAAAGTACATTAGTTCTGTCTCTAAAATAAAGTTAAAACGTAAGCTTACGTCAGCTTGAATCTACGGTAGAAGTATGCTTGAACTCGTTCGAGTTCTGTTTAAGTTCCTTGCAGTTTTGTACTTTTTTATGGCAACACATTTCGTGTACGATTTCCATTGAGCCTTTTATTCCAGGCGTAATTATATCTCGACAGGAGCTGGTTTTCTTCCTCTTCTGCTCTCCTTTTGCTATCGGTTGACTTGGCGCGAACCCAGAGCTCGTAACCATTCTCCAGTGCTTTATTAATAAGCCTATCCTTATGGGATCCTGTTAGACAGTACTCTTTTATCCTGTCTTCGATTGCCCCAGGTTTCGATCTGCATGTACTTCCTACATACACGACTACTCGAGAAGGCTGCCATTCCCTAGTGCCTCTTGCCTGCCATTCATAAATACCACAATCGTACTCATCGAAGGCTCTATCTATGTTGACACACCAATATCCAGGCCGCTTCGAGGAACGGTCTCTAAAGTAATGCTGATTATGTTGAGGAATAAAGGGAACCATGGCTCTTTTCCATCCTGACCAACCTTCAGTAGGAAGTGCCGAGTTTTCTCTATTTACACGGCTCATGGAGGTAGGATTTATATTGTTGAAACAGCAGTGATTCTTTTCTCCCTTGATTTGAGTTTCAAAGCAGATCAACCAGTGAAATTTCGAACACAATTAGATTTTTGCGCCAATTTTGACCCATGACATCAAAGTAACCAATCGGAGATCGAGATTTAACATAATGAAACTCTTAGAATTAGGGACTTTCCCTTGTTTGTTTTTGTCTGATTTTTGCTTTCATGACGAAAAAATTATCTAATATTTTAGAATTTGTATAAGCATTTCAAAAAAGGATGTCAGACGGAATGGCAAATGTCAAACGGCGAATTGGAAAGAAACGATTAATACGCTTATCAAATATGCAAATCTCGAACTACAACATGGATACACTGAAGTACACTGTGTGCACATTTGTTTCTGTCAAATATCGAAAAAGGTTTTTGGTCGTGCAATCGCCGTTCGATGTTAAAAGTTCTCAGTTCACTCCGACAATTTGTTTTGACTGATGATACGTTGTTGATAATGCTGTAGATATGTAAGGGGCCTTGGGGGAGAACGTCTGCGTAGGAGTCCAAAACTATGATTCTAACTCATTATTTTGTGGATAATGTAATGCATGACTAACTTAATACAGGAATAATTGGGTAATACACCTTTTGCCGTTCGTTAACAGAAAATGTACATTCATTTGTGCCAATAGTTGTATCAATAACGTGTAATGTACTTTCATCAACACCACAAGTA